GCGGGGTAGAAACGTCCAATCTGCTTTAACTCTTCACTGCCGTACATGTCTAGTAGATTAAACCCAAACATAGCCCTTTGCCCTCAAAGGCTTACGTCGTTACGCGCAACGTGCGACGTATTTTCTTGATAGCACTTCTGCTAATCGTTTCGTTGACAAAACGCCCGTTTTCTCATGTCTCTCGTCGGGCGCATGTGTCCTGCTGCTGTATAATTCTTATTCGGAGCAGAATTGTGCCATAAGCAGGCGGAGCGATTCTCAGGAGAATATCAGGTCCCCGAAGTGGTATGGCATTAGAGACAACAGCAATGGTAAACATCGAAATAGTAGCAGCATTGTTATCAGAAGGACATCTAAAGGCCAACCACGACTTGGCTTGGCTGCTTTTATTGTTGATTCGATTCTTCCCACTGCGCTGAAACTCTGTTCAATGGTAAGCCACGGGTCGAATAGCTACGCTTGCGTAAACAACCGCTACACATTGTCCGGCGAAATAGAGCCGGCAACAAAAGAAATGCTGCTCCATAAACATGCTCTCATTTCCTGAACTTCAGTATTGGGTAAATAGGCAAGAAATGATGTCACGTCATTTTTCGGGTGTGACTTTCATTGGGTGTGACGTTGTGTGCCTGGTTCAGTAGAGCATGAAGAGAGGGGTCACATACGCGCTCAGTGGATTATGGTGAGAAATTCCCGTACGATTTGAGTATAACCGGAGAAGACGGCAATGACGATCGTCTGACGCATTGATCGACGCATACGTATGGATGTATGCCTGTCCTATTTTATAAAACGGACTGACGAATGTCTGGTCATCAGATGCAGCTTCTAGCATTCTCTTCGAGGGGACAAGATGCATGAAGCGGTCCGGTATTGTCGCTATTATCTTGTGAGATAGCCTATAACAGGACGGACCGAAAGGCTGTGTAAAGTTATGGCAGAGCGAGGTTGAGCGGATGAATAACAATCTGAAAGTAGCCGTGGTCGACGTTGATCAGCTGACATCGAGGTAAGGACGTAGGGTCTCCAGGAAGGGCGGATCCGTAGCATTCAAAAGCGTTTTTAATGTTTCATCAGAATAGCATGTATGTTTTCATTTTGAGCAAGCCTAGAAGCGTTTGAAACATGGGGTCGCATTACTCAGACATCTTTGAATTCAAATTATGATAAATCTTCTGTACAGCAAGAATCTAGCGTACTCGAATTGACTATTTACTATTCGCACCCAGCGATTCGTGTGCAAAGACATTAATTAACCAGGTTCGGTCGAGGATAGCTCTCAGTCGTCGAGACTTCGACCAAAAGGGCGTTGCTAATGCGGATCGATGCAGTCGCAAGCTTCTTGTGGCAACGAAGGACATCCGGTTGAAAGGAACGTGTGCTTTTCACTAGCTATTCAGACACGTATGGCTACAAAACCGGGTGACAGAGTTCACGCGTCGAGCGCCGTTGAAATTGGCAACTGAGATTTCTAGCGACGCTTCAAGTGCTAGCTGCGTCAGTAACTATGCTATGTGTTTGTATCATTCGCACAATTTATACCATGCAACAGGTCACAACTATATAGAATCGACGTTGTTTTTTTGTAATGGAAAATTGTTAACAACGATGTTATGGAGCGTCTAACGTTCGTTATGGGGAGAAAACGTTTTACTTCCACTCATTTCGTAGACTGAACAAAGAGCTCGTGTTGAATTCTAAGCCTACGACTGGCTGGCAAAATGAAGGGATAAACTATTAGGTATACGCGGTAAAAATTCTGACAAACATTGTTGTAGAAAAGTTGACGTTCTCTTCGAATGACGACCCATACAATACGACTCGTTTCAATTTATATGCCCTTATCATATTGTTATCAGCAACTTCAATATGAACGACTAACTGATCCTTTCGAAAAATTTTACTTCAATCCGCGAAGAGGATCATTGATTTGACACTGAATGCCTTATGCAGTAAATGCCGGTGTGCGCCAGGACTCACTCGAATTCATACGTGATCCACGTGAAAGCGAAATTGCGCAGGGTCTAGCTGAAATCATCATTCCGTTTGGAACGTTGTGTGTACAGCGAGATCAGCCGTAGTCAATCTGCGTTCTCCCTAATCCAAACTCCGCTGGGAAGGCTGTACGGAAACAAACCGGACTTCCAACGGTATTCTTCACTCGACGATCGTTGTTCTACCAAAGAGCCAGCAATTTATTTTAAATGTCGCACTGTAATTGGGCGTGTGTATGAAAGAGTAAGTAAGAGAGCAAACCTCTTTTTCAAGCTGAGATTAAATCCCTCCCTCTTTCGTGAAGGTCTTGACGGGAAGGGCGGCAGGTCGAGCGTCGATTCGATCTTTGTCGCGCAATTTCAGACTAATCTGATATGCTGCAAGTCGTATCTCACGTGTGGTATGCAATACGTTTCACTTTCGTCTTACGGTTAAATTCGTCGTCTTTTTATCGTAAGATCGGCTTAATTTCGCCAGTGCTGAAGGCAACTGTTGTCTGAATGTGTCTGGCAAGGTATCCTCTTAGTTTTCCTTCCTCCTGAGTGTTTTCAACCACAACGTTTGTCAACAGAGATATTGCCGTTGACACGCACAGATGTATAACGTTCCCCTAATATATTGTAGTGATTCTTTTACCACTATGAATCTTGATATGAAGTTCTACTGCTAAGCTAGATCGTACACAATAATAGTCTCACCACGGATCTCAATTTAATTACTTAAAAAAAGACCTATATACCTGCATGCAACCAACGTTTGCTAATGGTGGCGAAAGGTCACTGACAAGCGGATCATTGCTATGTATGCGAAAACGGACCGATTTTTAGCTCGTACATCTAAAGCGGGTCAGTATAAAATGGTTATAATTAAAGTGTACGTGTATAAGCCGCTCTAGATTACTAGGGGAATAATCTACTCTCAATAAACAAATCGATAGAATTTTGTACTTTGGAGGATTAGCTCTATTTGTGAAGTCCCAATCCCGCAAGATAGGTATCGTTAGCTCGTACACTCATATATTAAATTCTAGTTCTTTTAACATTGTTGCCTATGCCGCGGCTAGAGGCCTAAAGTGCGCTTGAATTAATTTATTCCTCAGTGTTTGAGAAATGATTCAAAGAGATAAAATGGGACACAGTCGTACGCCAGAAAAGTTTTCTTTAATATATTGCACAATACTCCAGCTTACATAGTTACCGTTGAAGTTCAGTGACCTGCACATGCCGCTAATCAACAACAGTATCAGCTTTAGTCTCTATTTGTACGGCTACCCATAACAGAATATTTACCTCAAAGATTCCTATATGCCCTTTTCGCTTAAGGCGATTTCGCTTACTTTGGCGACAGGCCCTTCCAGGTTTTTCTGTGTATTGATTGTATTCCATTTTCCGCAATAGTTTCGTTTAAAGTATCAAACGCTGCTGTTAGAATCAGTCCGTACACGAAAATGTTATCACGGCTTCAGGACCGATACAACGAGGAGTGTCCGTTAATGTTTGCATATGCCATATTATGATCGTCAACGTCTTCAATCTTTACGCTGCTACGACAAGTCTGTCGTTTTGAGTTCGTGTAAACATACTGCGCCACGTCGTATTGACATTTAGCGCGACATTCATAAGTTCCGCGGCATTTAGAGAAGGTCCATTAAACTACTTGGTGTATGATGAACTTTATGCACCCGGCGCGTTGAAACTGAAACGCCGATCATTTTCTCCACATCAATATTATGGGAAGATTACATAGTAACAAAGATCTATTTAGTGTGTGACGCTCGTGCGTATTCCACAGCTGCTTAAAGCATGGACGACTAATGCGAAAACAACTATGAACGTAGGTTAAAGCAACGAACTTTGAATATCAATAGATTAACCAATAACAACAAGTCTATAGAAAAATAATCGATAAATTTTCCAAAAAATGATTGATCAATAGATGATTTCCGTCGTGTTGTTGACCCGTTGGTCCGGGTTTTGGGCTGGAACTGCCATCTACTGTGAATGTTTCGTGTACCGGCGACCGCAAATCTGCGGAAGAGACTCAACTGGCAATCCATTGACTTTGAATGGATGTCAATGGCCGACGCGGACTGTTCATCTTGAGTAAAGAATGCGCAAAAGAAAACACGATTTTTTCACCGTATGAACAATAAAACGCCATTAGGGGGTGCTAGAGGGAATCCGCGCTACAGTGAGAAACTGTTCCGCCATTCGCTATCTTTAGCGGTGATGTCGCAATGGATAAATAGGTTGTTTTGCCTTGTTTTTAGACTGTGAAGTCTAAACTTTAGTACGGATACGTATCGGTAAAAAATATATTTTTTTGTCACTATCTAGGCACTTATATATATATATATATATATATATATATATATATACTATTGTTTGTTAATGCGCTATGCACATCTTAAAGATAGTCTCAAAGATATATTTATCCACAAGACCCAAGCAAGACGACTATTATTAAGATTATTATAATCATACGTAGATACTGAATTTCGAATATCTATCCAACGAAGATCGCATCCTGCTTTTGTTGTTTGTATACATCCCACCAGTAATTTTTCCGCTTGATTGACGATCATTGTAGCCACCCAACATGGTATTGGCAAATAGTAAAATAGGACTAATTGTTAACGGAATTTATTAAAAATGCCGTCTAAACATTTTGCCCACTGAACAGGATACCAATAATGGCGTAAAAACGTATCATCACTTCATTGTTTTCACTCTAGTCTTACAATTGTAAAACTCCTGACTACAAACTGTCAGTATGAAGTACAAATCATCATTCCAAACATGCGCTTATGGCTCCATTAGGACCTTATATATAGTCATGAAGAAGACGATTTCGTATGCGAACCGTGCTTTTGTACATTAAGAGGCTTAAGAACGATCATAGAACATGTGTTGTGCACCATTATGAATTGTCTGCTTCTACAATTTTCGTTTTGTCATACGTATATCGCTCATTTTTGTTCTTGTCCTGCTTTTTTTTGGTTTCAGTTTTTGTATTTTTGTTATCTTTTCTCGTTTTGTTTGTTTCTTTCGTGACTTCTGGTTTCCGTAGAGTGCAGATTGTGTGCGATTTCATCCACCTGGACGCCATCACATCATCAACGACACAGTGAAGAGTGCCTCTCTTTTCATCAGCGTGAGCTGCCTTCAGCAACTGCCAGCCCCATCTTGCTACATTCGTAACATTTCCTGTGATAATCGCAATCCCCTCCAGGCCCTGTTCGCCATTCGATCAGAACAACTGGAAAGATTAAAGTCAAGGGTCTTCAAACCGATATTGCCGTAAAGCTGATTTCCGTCAAAATAGCTTCTCCGTATCAACCTGCTACAGCTAGCGATGCAGGCCTCGATCCCCCTAAGTCGCGCGCAACCGTGAAGCTCCCTGATCAGAAGACTTTTGCCCCCTGAAGGAGACGAGGTGACCTTCAATATCTTTCTTTAGGCTTCTGTTCGTACGCACAGAAGACCAACAGCACGAGATCGCCCCTGCTTTGCGGGAATTTTGTAGGTAGCGTTCGCCCGGCACGCTGCCCCCCTCGCCCCTTCTCCCCCGAGCACCTCCTTGGAACACAGGCCTATCAACTGGCCGCGACTGCTAGTAATACCGTTAGGTTTTTCGGCGAAAGCACAACCGCCTGTGTGACCCTGGTCCGTTAGTGCTTCGCTGATGCTCCGTTTAGAGTGTGTTCGAACAACTTCTGCTTCTACTGGTACGGCTCTTCGTAGAAGCATGTTTTGTACTGCCGTCGAATCTGAAGAATAGGGGAACGACCAATCGGCTACAGCTTCTCCGTGCACGAGAAGAGGCCGGACCTCACAGGCACCTAGTGTTCTAGCCTCGCTCCACGAGCGCAGTGAAACAAGACATAACAAAGCTGCAGATAACTACAGGAATCATCAGTACGGCATAACAAGTGCGTGTAAAAGTCAGTCATGGGAAATCATCAGGGTTCTCAGATGGGCAGAGCCGGGAGTGCGGCCGGTAGCGTCCAGCACAACGGAGGCACCACTGCAGACGATCCCGAGCCGCTGCCGCAGCTAAAACGAGGGTTTAGCCTGAGACGAAGCAAGCGGCTCTCGAAACGATTTCGGAGTCATAAAAGTGAGTGTGCCTCTCTAATTCCGGTTGGCGAGTTCTATTGACCTGCGAAAAGCCTTTGGGAAAGCTTCCGCAAGCAGGATCGTTTTGAGCTGCTTTAGGGGTGATGACAATACATAACACTTGAGGCCCTTTCTATCACTAATGCTATTGTTCCTGTACAGGATTTGTCGCCTGTAAATGTGCTGTTAGGTTAATGCGTCTGTGTTCTGCATGCGTGCCCTAATGAGTCTATTAGTACGTTTAAACATCTATTTATTTTCCATTCATTCGTTTTCAATACAAACGTTTTAGGTTGCTTAGCTTTCTGTATGCATGCAGTAACAGTAAAGGCTAATTTTATATTTGTCATGAAGAGACCCCATCTATTTACATTAGATATATGCGTACAAATACATTATACAAGTTTGTTGTTGTGCGACTTGAAGTAACAAGCACATGTGATGTTAGGTAAAACCGCCTCGTGTATATCCCATGCATGATGTAGCGTACAGGTTGACTTAATGAGCAAAATGCATGTTAACTAAGAAGAAATTCAAATAAGCTTGAATTAAGTTAAACTCCTTCCTTTGCCTTTACCTACGTTAACTGGTCAAGGAAAGGAATATAGAATATAAGTTATATTTTTATCAACTCGCCTTATGGAGCTAAAAGCACATTAAATTCATGTTGGCAATATATGGAAGTGTAATAAAACACATGTTGAATAGATCAGCTGTACAGCGTATTTCAAAAAGTGTGCGTAAAAAACACACAAGTTCAATGATTATAACTTCGGTTTCTCTTTATATATAATCGATATCTAAATTACTAAAGGATATATATTAAATCTACCGCAGATAATTGCTGTTCGGGTCAATACATGACGATGGGCATTTAAGTCCTAAATTTTAACAAACATTTTGTCTGGTGTTATGGCGCATTTGTTTTGATTGAATTGTGATCTTCAAATTTTTACGGTCATCCATTTTCTGACGTAGACCTTATTTTTACAAAAATTTCTATTAGAATTATTTTACGGGACCCATTTATCTTCTTTTTTTAGATATATATATATATATCTATATATGTATCTTACCAATTCTTATTAAGATGCGTTCTTATGTCTTGACGATAGTACGCAAATGCTACGTTCTGGCGAAAATTTCCTATCTTCATTAACGTGCTTCGGTAGAACTCGTAGTAAATTCAGATAACCGCTAAGTGGCGCCAGTGTATGCATTCTTTGAGACACTTTGTATTTATGGAGGTCAAATACAACGTTACAAACGAGTTTGTTCCGGACATGTAGTTAACTATATATTTTACATCTACGTCTATACATCGAGAAGGCACTTTTCAAGAAGAAACATCGTAGCTAGCAGTTGATTCTCATATATCAGGTTTAAAACCGGCTTACGCCGGCGTGCTTTCAAGAGTAAGCTGGTTTCTTTAAAAAATGTGTAGCTTTTTTTTATCGACTACAATCGACAATTCTAAGATATATATACAAACAAAATTAAATAGGTTGTATTTAAGTACGCTAGGCAGTCTGTGGCCCAACACTCCGTCGGGCCGCCATTTTGAAATTGTTCAATCAACACAGAATCAACAACAGATTTAGAAAATTTCTAAACCCAGAAGATAAATCCCACGATGTGGTAGCAGTTTTTGACGTGAGTAATGTGTAATCGTTTCGAGACGTTTGCTGTTAATAGATATTAAGTCTAACTAAGATATTGCACAAATCATGTATAACCAACGACCACAAGTGTCCGCTTGAACAATCCGGCTTAATGGATGTGGAGATTTTTAGATAGCCGTCCAAATTATAGGAAGCGTGCCATTGTATCTCTAAGTTGGCATGTACATGACATAGTAAGACAAGGGAGAGATATTGAAAACAATCTGATTAAATAACGATCATCGGACATAGACATGTTGTCAGTTCTCCTCACGAGAACGCATCTCATGGTCGCGTAGTTACATTGTCGTCTCTATAGCACCTCGATGAATAGACAGACATTTATTGAACTTTATCTCATCGGAACGGCATGACCCCCGTTGGGTGGTACGCCGCATGGCGAAATCTGTTCACGCAGTAAAACGGACCGTGTTCTCATACGACGAATGATTAGGTAACTTATGCAATTTATCATACAGAAAAACAACGAAGTTCCCCGAACTAGCTTAGATAGAATATTAAATAAGCTAGCAGAACACATTTTTGGAGCGCTTCCTAACTGCAAAGCAACATCCATAATGATAATAGCAAATATAGTTGCCTCGTAAGTTACATCTGTAGCTGTTTAAAGTTGGCATATTATCCCATAATTGCAGTATATGTTTTTCTAAGATATTTTCCTATGCGCAAGTGGGCAACTGCATTAGTTACTTAGCAAGATATTATAATATACGTAAGTCGATTGGTTTGACCTCCCACTAGTGAGGAATAATCCGGCGAAGTCAAATGGCGCTCATCATCAGAACCAAAAAGAAGGGAACAAAGCGGGTAAGTGGATGCTGTGCGACAAAGCCATAAGGGCTGACGACAAACATGAAAAATCGTCAAAGGAAGCTTCTCGCTTTCTTCGAGTCAACTTCTCGTTGCCTTATTCATACGTGCGCTCCACGTAACTTTAAACATACCTGCAGCACCTTTAAAGATATAGTTGAATTTAGGGTCTTTCTTCGTCGTTGTCGTTCGCCGTTAAAGACGCCATCGTTACTGTAAGCACTAGCAAGATTTCGTCTTTAGCTTGAATCGCGTGCGTAAAATTAATCTTGAACAGCGAGTGGAACAGGCGGATGGCTTCGTGTTCTGTGTCTGGGCGTAAATGGCATGACCCTCGTGATGAGCTGCTGACTCGCCGTAAAAGAAAATGATCATATTCTTCATAGAGACGTAATTAGCTGTGTAGACTTATGTTCTATTCTGGTATCCGACGTGTTGAAAAAGAGCTCTGTGAATAATTAGCTTAGCAGTGGCCTTTCGTCAACGACGCCAAAGACCACTGTATTCTAGCTAGAAGGCTAGCAATAGCCCGTGCAAATATAAATAGATAATGCCACGTATGATCCCAAGAGTAATTCGTTGACACCACCGGCAGTCAGAGCTGAATTGGCCACATGGCTATGGCAAATCGGACAAAACGTAAAAGTCCCTCTGAGTCTTTTACTCCAACGTTGGTCAAGATCAGCTGACAGTAGGCAGCGGAGATCAACATTCAGGAAGACACTTATTACGGTTTTAGGTGCTAGTTTGCATGTTGCATCCGATTTATTTGACTCAATAGGTGAGCGGAATGCCACGTGTTTTCCCTTCAAGAAGATAAAACGCTAGTCGGAAGTTCATTGCATGAATACTGGTGGCTCCATCTATGAATCGAAACCATCACGCGTTGTGTACTTGTATGGCACAGATATTCGGCATACATTATGGTATGATTGGGTTGAAATGAATAATTGCATTATCAAACTTGTTAATTATTGATAGCTCTCCACTGCTCCTTCTGCTGACGACATTCTCTGAAATCTATAGTGCTTTTTCAATCAGATCTCGTTCCTACTATCCTTTAGATAGTGTCTAATGTGTTTTTCCTTTTTTCTCATGTTTAATTTTTCATGGCTAGAGCATGCATGTCACTTGAATAACATGTTTGCTTTTAGTTCTTTCCGTTACGGAACATGAAACTGTCGAAAGTGTCATAGGTTGATTTACAGGCGGCGGCGGCGGCAAGGTTGCCTGAAGGTCACGCCTTAGTCAAGTGGAAGAGGTACTTCTAGAGGCATGCGCGAAATGAACTAGCTCTAGCGAATTTATTGCAGTCAGTTAGAGCGGAGACACTTTTAGATTGCGCTTGCCAGCCAGGAAAATCGAATCATAGTGGGGCTCTGGAGTCTCGTATCTCTACGCTTTTCTCCGGACTGTTGATGTTAGTTCGCCGCAAAGGACATTTTCAATTCGGCCCTAGATGTTTCTGAGGTCCTCAGAAGCTTTTTACTTTAGACTTTTGGGTAGTGAACTTGCATCATCAACAGGTCCTCTTGTGCGCTACTAACCTCACAAATCCTATTAGAGCTTTTCGTCTCTATAAACTTTGGATCTTTGCTTGTGTTATGGCTTTTTTTTGTTCCTAGCACATCCACACAGGGGTTATGCTGCTAAATGTAATCGATTCTTGCTTCACTGGGCGTAAAATCTCTTAGGGGACCGTCTAGCCTCGAATTAAATCTCTTAGAAGATACAAGCTCTAGAAGATTTAGTTACGTCTACCATAAACTAGATAAAGGCCAAAATTGCAACTACTCGAAGTTCAGGATAGCGCCACGGCCTAAGTATACATACTTACTTCTAGTACCTACCTAAAGACATTACCTTAAAACTATTTTCATGTTATTCGCTACGTATTTGGTTTATCTTCAGCGAACGCTATGAATACTACGATATTTATTTTACTTAAGTTTACCTAAGATGATCATGATCTTTCATCAGATACCCACACAATTCTCCCGCAAATTTATTTATCTTCTGTTTCTAATTAATTGCTTATAACTAGGTGAGTATAACTGTACGTTTTTCCAGCGTTTCTAGACTCGGTACCATTTAATATAGAAAAATGTTTTCATTATGTAAAAATGCCTTCCTTCAAGTGCTGTCGAACTTGTGATCACATCATGCAAAAAAATCATGCAAATACCACAGCATATACCATAGCAAATACCAAGTTCTACCATAACATACTGTCTTCAAATGATGTAAGCATCGTATGATTACATACTACTTACGTCCCGAATAACGATAATGAACCTTGGCGTCTTCTCGTGCGTTAGTTAGCTAGTTGGGGTACGTGTTGCTATAGATCAAGTATCATAAGATAAATATATATATCTATATATATACATATCTGAGCGAATGGCAGCAAAATATTTGTTCCTGCCAGCTAATGCAAGGTCGAAGTTAACCCAGTTCGCTTTAGGTTGTTGGCAACGAATGGGATGACTGGCAATATGGCCGAAATTGTAAAAGAGGTGCTCAAACGTCTCGTTGATTAACAGTTTCCCCCAATGGAGCTCGACAACGACGTCAATGATTCTAAGGAATGGTTCTCGCCGGTTCCGACTTCAAGGTCGCTGAACGATAGGCACAAGTAAGTCTTTATGAAAATCTGTCTGCACAGTTTTCCTGGAGGAGCCCGATTCGCTGCAACAGTTTCTTTGTCGCCTTAGGTCGTCCGGGGCGCCGTTCGAATGGTTCGTATAAGGTGAATGAGAACTGTTCGATAAGCTGAAGCCTAAAGTCGACTTCAGCGTATTCTCAGTTATCGTCCAGCGGTGAAGTCGGTGAACTCTGCGAACTTCATCCGAATTAGTTCCGAGTAGTCCGAGACTATACGCCGGAGAAACCTGGCATTCCCTTCCGGAAGCATACCCATCAAATAAGGGCCCCTAGCAGTCTGCTGCTGTTCCATAAGGCGGCCATAACGCGCAGCGTTCTAAGGTAGGATTTGCAATTATCAAGTCAGGACGAACGAAAATGGCAGACTCCAGCTATGTTGACATTGAAGCTCGAATGCCATCGTGTGGGTTCACGGAATCATATGTTTGCAATTAAATACCATTTTCAGTGCATTGATCATATCGCATGAACTAAGCAGTTCTCGGTGGGCGGCAGTAATACGGGCGTTTCAAAAAGTTTACTTTCAAAAATGACACATTGTGTCAAACCAGTCTACGAAAGTTAGCCGAAGCCTTGGTGTTTCAAACCTATCTTCGTTGCCACTCGAATGTTAACAAGACCCGCACGCTGACTGATGGTGTGCTTCTTTCCGGATAGGGGGATACGAATCGGAGCACGCGAGTATGTTCGAGGCTGTTATGAGTGCCGACTTGCGGGAGAAAGCTAAGGAAAAAGTGCAGTAAACCCGCCGCTAGAGGCTGATGAGTCGACTCTGTTGGGCAGAGTGAACAATTGCGATCACAATTAGCATGACCACGACAACAGAATGTGTTCCAGAACAGGGAGCATTTTTTTGGGACGAAAGGCCTCTTTTTGGCGGACTGGTGCTCCAGGGTGCCTTCGGTAGTGCCCGACGCCGAATGTGTACTACCTCAATCGTTCTCGTAAACAACGGGGCTCCTAGACACGCGCATGACGAAGCTACAATGGGGTTTAAGCAGCCCGTCGTGCAGAACCCACGGACGTTAGTGGATATTAACCTGATTATTAAGTGGGAACATCCCTCAGATAAACGTGGCCGAGGGGTTAGGTTAAATCAAATACTGTAGAGTGAATATGCGTGTACAATGCGGTAAGAAACAATATGCTAGATCTTATCACATAAACGAGTGCTGCCTCAATAATGCATAACAACCACGCATCGTTTTGTAATGTCCATGTGTCGGCTTTGTATCGATTATCCACTTGCTAAACGTAAAAAGGGGACACACAGTGTAGTCACAACGATGACCTTTTTGTGTGATCAAGTCGAATATTGCCGCTGGTAAATGTTTATTATATAGTTGGCTGTTGATGTTAGTGGAAAATAACATACTTCTATGGAATGTTTATAGAAAAAAAAGTAATGCAAGGTTAAGTATAATCAAATACTTTTTCCACATATAAACTTGCTTGTTTCTCATTGAATTATTATTATAAAGTCTTACTGAAAAATTTTGAACGCAAACACTACGGAGAAGTGCTTATTTTGTTTGCTCATCACAACGCAAATTATCATCCTGTTTCCTGGAAAACCAGCATTACTAAGGTGAACGTTTACATATATGGATTTGTCGTATGGCATTTCCACGAATTAGGCTTCATTCCATGTGTACAATGTATAAAAGATGATTACAAGGCTTTGCTATCGAAACTATATTCAAATTGTCATTGTTATTTAAAATGGGTTTGTATAACTGCTAATATATTCTGTCGCCGTTTTATTACTTTTGGTGGGGCGGCCATACGATCATTGCAGGTATGGAGCGGATTCGTCGAAGTTTCCGAGATTCATTTCGTCGTAAAAAGGACGTCGTGGAGACGTGTAGCCCCCAGCTGTGGGCCGCTGACGAGGTGGCCGTACGTCAAGGTGACTGTTCGTTTCACGTCAAGTATCTCGGAGCCCTCGAAGTATTCGAATCCAGAGGTAAGTTAAAGTAGAAAGTTCGACAAAAAAGAGGGAGCCGAGAACAGAGCATATATAATAGTGGTCATATTCTAATTGCACATTTCTTTACTTGGGTAATAAACGAAGAGTCCGAGATGGACCTAAAACGCATTGATCCTTCTCGTCCAATTCCGATATGTCCGCGAAGCATTACGGGACGTTTGATTGAGAGACAATTCTTGTAGACTTGTTGACTCACTCCGTACAGACATCGCTACGACGGTAAGCGAGTCGATTGTAACTATGAACTGAATTAGAACGACACATCAAAGATTTGGAGTCATAAAGTTACTACTTCAAATATTACCGGGTATGTGCGTGCGTGTGCACAGTACAGAAACAAGCGCCGTTTAGTTTTTACCTAGGCGTTATTGTTGAGCTTATCTCTATCAGATAGTTTACCAATGATGTTACGAATAGTAGTGAGATAAGTCCTATATATCGAATCGCTCAGGTGTTGTGTTATATCAGTCAGCACAGTAACGCTTATCTTCGTCTCGCGGAGATAATCGGTCCCTGTTTAATAATCAAATATCAGCAGATGGCCAGACAAGTAAGCTTCTTGCGCAGCGTTTCAGTGTTGATGTATCGATGAACAAGCTGGTCTGTTACCACGCGAAACACTCGTAAACGCTCGGTAGCAGCTAACCGAGCTTAATTTACCCGCCACTTATTTCAACTATCTGCGTCTGCTCATGTAAACATGTCCAAGTAAATATACCGATGACTGAAATTTTTTGAATGAAAACTCAAAAACTCCTAAACTATTATATAAAATATTTTATATTTTTTGTTTATCCTTATTTTATCTATATAAAAATGAAGAAGGACAAAAAAAGAAATAGATTAAAAAAAACGGTAAAAAGACCAATGGAGAATTAGCTGGTCCTCGAGCAACATCCGTTATCTCATTATTTTCTGAAGATATTTATTAACTGAGCAAACAGTCACGACTGAATATCACTTTGTTGGTTAATAATCCGTAGAAAAATCCGTTGGTAATCCGTAGAAAAATCGTCAAATCAAAAGAAATTAATGTAGTTTATTCACGTGAAAATCTTCATCCGCAAATCATATAAGAGCGCCTTTAACATTGATTAGATTAATTCAACGAGCCTTACGACAATTTAAAAAAAAATAGTGTATCGGTATTTATTAAGATTTGATAGATATGCTGTTGAAAAATAGCACTCGGGGAAGTTGGATAATTCCTTTGCTAAGTGACAGTAAATTTTATGTGAAAAAACATAGTGTACACTTTTGGCTACTAACTAGTCACATTGCGGCTCTAAAGAAGGCATCGTTGATTGTCTGCTATTCCCTGTACGGAGCTGCAAATATACGATGTACGTATTTTGAGCGTTAGCTAGCCGTTTTACTCTTGCACATATGAAATGCATAAGCAGAAAAATAGGATAGGGCCTAAAGAGAACCTGAATGAGCCTACACTATATTTTCGTTACAATCGGTATATTAAGTTGAACGTTAAAACTTATTTCAATTCATCTTTCAAATTTATTGTATCGTATTTCAAATATTCATCTTAAGGCATCACCGCCACTGGAAAAATCTTTGCCTTGTCAACCCGTTAACGTTTCCCTCCTGTTTATAATATAAATTTTACTTCCAGGCCACTGATGGTATACCAACATAAGAAGTCCAGCGACTTATGTGGGTATCGTTTACTGCAGAAGCATCATCAGATAAGAATCTATTGCGGTAAATCTGCATCCGGAATCGCTTATTTTTGCTTTCAAAGAGAGAAGCTTTCGTATCCGCAACTGTTCGAATTGATATTTGATATAAGTGAATTCGGGGCCGTGTGATCGTAGTGGTCCCGTGTAAAAACTGCCTCTGATCCGCTTTGCTTCCTGCAGAGTATATTTTAGTTACATTGAATCTTCGATCATATGGATTGTAGCCTTCGTTCTCCAGCTGGTTTGCTAGACAAGAACGTTACAGGAAGAAAGTGTCAAGGTGAAAGCTATGGGAGGACCTTTGAGAGCGTTTGCGGCTGCATTCCCTGTTGACCTGGCCCCTGCAATACCTGGTAATAAACGTTGAGCCGTGCGTGACTCTGGCTCTCGTTTACGTCGTAAATAAGCTGATACTTTTTACTGTATAAGTCCAACTTACAAATCTACGCCAAAGAATCTAGGAATATTCAGTTATAGCTGGTCATCCTTTTTTTGCAAACGTAGCTGGGGCATACGCAGACCCAGAAGGCTCTCGCACCACCATGCTTGTAAATAACCAATTAGAACTTGGAACAAAAGGCCAAAAAGGTCCCAGTTACCTCTATTACTACGCGAACGTACTCTTCTTAGCTGAAGATCGTGCTGGTTACAACTTCTCTTTTCTGCCCTTCTGCCTGTACCTAACTCTGTGACTGCATCAGGTACGCGGTAATTGAAATCGTATTTAGTTATTATAGTTTTCGTGTATAGGAAATAACTCTTATTGCAAAAGCCCATGCCAATAAAGCTACTGCGTACAAAGTTAGCTCCTTCCGTGCCCACAAGATAGTTCAGCGGCAACATGTTTGCCCATTCAAGTTAGGGGCACGTGAGGCGGTCTAGATTCGAATTTCAGAGTAGACACAGTTTGTATCGTGTTAAGAGCCAGCGATCTGAAACTACTCCTAGCGTCAGTATTAGACGTAAAAGTATATATACTTACAGTGCTTTTAATGGCATCCACGAAGTTTAACATGGAACTCACATAATAGGTAACATATCCTAACCCACTATTATCTGTCATCCAACACATCATAGTCTACTAACAGTGGAAAACGGTCCAATCAATGGAGGACCAATCAGTATTTTGATACTGTTACGTAACCTGGGAATCGAATACGACAAAACGTTATACCTAGGGGGTGACAGTTCAATTTTGGCCTTTTCGTATTTATAATTCACTTTGGCTCCATCTCGAACAACCGTACGGACAACTACGAGTGGTTTATATTTGTTTCTCTCATCGAACATGTCCAGTATATAATTCGTTGCCGTAGCATTGATATTAAGCCGAGTTTCCCAAGGGATCTACTTCGAGTTCCTCTAATAATAGTAATATTAATAGTATTAGTAGCTAATTATCTTAGTTATGGAGTTTTAGCCATAATTTTGCATAATTAAATAGAACAGTTTAACTCAGCTAATATTGAAATATAAGTGGCCGACTCGACTGGCGGCGGTTCTATCCACTATTAACTCTTCCCTATTCCCCTAAATCGAATTATCATCTGATTTCGTTGCTCCAGGATTTGTAGACTCTGGGGCGAACGCCGGTCTATTCTTCCGGCATTATTGACATTCGATATACGATGCTTTCTACAGTAGAGCCAGCTTTTCGTGCGGTAACTTTGGTAGAACTCAATGTAGAGGGATTAAAGTATTGCCAGATGTAACCTGCAGTACACACGGAACCCAGTAGGGCAAGAATCTTTCATAATTCTCAGCGTCGGTACCGTTATCATTGTTTCATTATGTCATTTTCGCATTCACTTTCAGCATATTTAGCATTTATAAAAGCAATGAGCAGCATCCTAATAACCTGACCGTCACAGAGCAAAGCACGGATTCGCTCCTCATTCATTACAGTCGTCGTCCTTGTTATTTAAATTCCGCTTTTGTGCGCTCCGACTCTTTCTCCGACGACCTCAAACCCACGTAATCATTCGTGTTTGATGACGCAAATTTGAACAATATGTAATTATTGTGGCAGTACGATTTACGCAGCGCGTAGGCACTGATAGGCAATTAACGTTAACGAGTCCAGGAATCGCCCTGGCGTGAATCTCATATTTCCGCTTTACACGCCGCCTCGTATTCCGTATCGGCATGCGATCGATACCTATGTCTCTCTCAAAGCAACGGGCTACATCCCTAAACTGAAACTACAAGCCGACGCAAGTGCGGACCTTCCCTATGTCTTAAATTTTACGTCCGATGTCGCTGTTAGGCATTCCATCAATCAGGCAGCTGGGTCTCGACCACGAAACCCGTTTGTGCTTACGCTTGAGCCTTGACCACAACATGTCCTTAAAGTTAAAGGTTAAACAAGTGGAGATCCTATGTATTGTCAGGCTTAACCGGTCATACAGATACATTTCTCTTCCGCTGGTTAACGTAATGCGATAAAGACTGAATACGGTTGTTCATGGTGTTTTCCAAATCCACTGTGGAGAACTACTGCTGTTATGAAACAATCAGTTAGTTAAACGTAACGTTCTGAGCAGATTGGACAGGACGTGTCCCTCTCTAGAAACATAAATTATTCCGCTGCCAAAACAGGAAATGAACTTTTCAGAAAGATGCAGAATTTAGTCCATAGCTCATTGCGTCTGCTAATGGCGGAACTCGTGGGTCGCGATATTACCGGGTCGGTGTTTCTGTGGTAATTTTATACAAATCCAATTATAAAATCGCCTTAATATCGCGCTGTACAACTTTATCGCATAGATACATCTTAAAAAAGATACTTGTAGCTCAAAAAAGTTTTATCTAAAGTTTATCTAAAAATTATTTCTGTATCGTTGGCAAACCTACAGCATTGCAACCGTACTGCAAAAAGACCGCATTCAACCAAACATAATGTCCTCGAAGTTAAACGTCTGCGTCCACTTAGCGTGCCCGATGCCAAATAATAAATAACAGGTTCCGAAAGGCAGGAACTTGCAAGACCAAGTATGTGGGCCAAGAAAAGTAGGTCCCATTGAGTTCCTTTGGGCAAATGATTTCTCCACTAGTGTGAAACATAGAGGTGCCCTGGCCGCAAAAATTCGGTAGAAATTTGCCACATAAATGCAGTACGGTCGAAAACTTACCATTTTTTCTGTTATGTACCTCACTTCCATTCGAGTCAGAACTTGATAGTACACTGCTGATACCAGTATATCTAAGTATCCAACACTATGGTCGCTCAACATAGCTAATGAAGCCCGTTGGTAATGAGACCACAAAGTAATAATAATATTCAAAACAGGCTTGTATATCTCGGTATTTATCGTTCTTGGTTTAAGCTATCGGACTCATCATTACCATGATTAACTGCTTCTTCACTGTGTATCGTCGAATTGCGACAGGTCGTATCTCTTTCGTAAATCCAGCTTTAGCAATTTTCATGGTTGCTAGCAAAACATTTCACAGGGTCTTCGTCTTTGCTTAGGCCAGTGATCACGGGTTACGGTCCGCTACATTTCCCTGACAATTCCACAACTTCGCCTTAAGAATGTCAAATTTATCACCGTATGATAAGGATCATCGCAGCTATTTTTGGTTATGCGGTGTATATCTATCGTCATAACTACTTCTGTAAAGATCTCTTTGTTTATCAGTCGCGCGAAAGAAAACTTGAAAACGAAGTTCCGGAAACAACCTAATCTTTCGCTCTCCATTCATGCAAGTCACTTGCCCCTCGCTACAGGAGGAGTACGGTGATGGATAATTGCTTTTTAAAATTAGTTTTTAGTTGTTTTAAAGCTAGAATGGCTTTTGTATACACATGTGACAAAATACATTATAGGATATTCTCCGAGGTATGTAGATAAGTATGTATTACGTATACGTGATATTAGAGACGCTACGAAATTAAGTCCGCTCATCGTGCCCTTGGAAAAGAAACATTTCAATTTATCCGCAGAGGCGGCTTCCATTTAAGCGCTTACACCACAAATTACCCGAAGTACGTCGGCGTGTTTTGTAGAGAGTTTGTGAAGTTCTGTTTGATATGTTTTGCTTTGATCATTAAACATCTTTCATTAACTAGATATAGTTTTCTAAGTTAATACTTGGGGAATTTGAATTTCCCATATGAAACTATCGCCCACCTCAGGATATGTATTATTTCATTGATCTGTTGAACGGTCGTAGAATGTGGGTTAAAAAGGGTTAAGAGGGCACACATCGGGCATTTTTCTGTTGACTTGACTATAGATGTCAATGGGAAATAAATACATATACGCTGGACAGGTGTTGAAGCCAAGATCGACGGAGTCAGACTTTGTGTTATAGTGTAATCACATGCGCTACAACGCTTTTTGCCTTTATGGCGCCACTCTGAACAAGTGACTTCTTTTGTGTAAAAGGGTTATGGATAAAAATGTAGAGAACGATCATACGAAGGATTCTAGGCAGTTTTCGATAATGTGTTGCATTCGATCCAGAAACTCGAAAAGAAACAAGGTTGCGTGGAATATTGCTAAGCAATGGAAAAAACAACTCTGGATATTACACATGAGGCAGAATAATTGCCTTATGGTAGAATTGTTAGGCAAGTGCCTCAGGGAGGGGTTCAGTGCTTTACGATGCGCCATCAAAACCTGTTTCAATTGACTATACGTATACTAAAGTTAAATTGATGTTCTGAAGCAATAAATCGATTCAGGAACTTAAACAAAACACAGCTCAAATGAGGGATAATAATAATATCTAAAGTATTCGTGACATTCCGGACAAGACTTACTGTCGTTCTAGGAGCAAAACAACGATGGTTGACGTCCTTATCATGATGCATCGGGTCCGGGGTCACATTAGTGATTCAGCAATAAGTTCGTCATGCTGTATCGTTAAATTCTCATGTGTTATTTTCATTAAAATATGGAACGTCGTTTTACTGTTGCACCCTTGCAGATAATGGAGTGCCCCTCCAGAAGGTATCGATTATTATATAGGCCTATAAAAAGCATGTCCGTAAACGCTATGTGACATATAGGTGAATGGTTACCACGGCCCGACTTGGTGGCAATAATTGTCACAGTTATATTCGTTTTGAAATGTTTCGATTGTGCGCAGTGATCTGCTTGCCGATTACTGCTGGTCGTGTTTATATCAACATGGCGTGATTATGGCCTAATTTTTCCCAAGAACTTAAAGGTGAGATGTAAGTTTTATTGAAATAGCATGTGCTTGCCGTGGAAACAGTTCAACTGTTATCGAAGTTTTTCTAGTATATATATATAATCTGTCCGACGCTGATCAGCGGTGCCGGTAGTACTGTAGTCATTAAAGCTGTCGGTGGTTATAGTTATTTGCGCATCGGTCGCATAGGATTGGTTCCTAACTATTTGCTTTTACTGAGCAGTGGAACGGAACAGACTATGTATTTTTTATTTCGAAAAAGTTGTATGGGTCACCTGGAGGAGCGAGCACTAGTTACTTAAACAATCTCGCGGCTATGTATGGTCATATGGGTTTTGGTTAGAACTATGAAGAGGCCGTTTTTAGGCTTTTTCTCATAACTCTTGTAGAGATTACGTAGCACGTCAAATCGAATATTTCTGACTATATATATATATGTGCTTGACATATATAGTGACAATATGTATACATGTAAATATGTAATCAAACGTCGTCCTTCTGTTCATTTCAGGTATGACAGTATGTGAGGAGGCATTGAAGACGTTACGGCATTCCAGAAAACGACCTGTAAAAGGAGTTCTGTACGTAACTGGTAAGTTGATGCACAAAATCGATTTTTCTACGTACAAGAGACGGCAAAAATGTTAGATGTATTACGCTTTCATGTGTTTTGATCACTTTACGTCGATGCACCCAAATGTCTTTTGGGAAACAGGACTGTTTTAACTTAACGAGCCGGCAAGTTGGAATACGTTTTGAGGGTATTCGAATTGGAGCGTATCAATACATTTACCAGCACACAGATGGCGATCGGAAAACGCCAATAATGAAAACACCGGAGCCTTAAACGACGTGCTAATCATTCAATATATATGAAAGTTGCTAGAGCTAGAAGGCGTAATAATTTCAATGTTCTTCAGTCTACAAGCCTGCGAAGTTTACACAAGGCACGTTATCTACAACTAGGCTGAATACTCATATGCTCCTCAACCTGATGAAACCATTTGTGTCATAAGAGTTCATACGTTGGCCAGGGTATGCTAAAATGTATTTTCTATTCACCTACTTTCAAACAGCTTTAAGATTAACTTAAGGCACGATTTGAACGTTTTCATCTTTGTCCACGTCGAATAACCTTGCACAATTCGACCACTAATCGTAGCGTCGATGTGGCAGAAATCTCACTAACGAAAAGAAGAACTGGACCTTCCTTAATAAAGGAATAATTTTATTTTCGAAAGCGTTCCGAGTTAACCTGTGCCCTGCCCACTCTCTACCGTTCTGTCTACTCTTTGCTCCTCGCCCATTCTCTACTGGGTATTTCTCTGCATTTTAAGTTTATTAGAATAGTATTAGGACACAGTTCTTTTTAGTTATTGTGCAGAGCTGAGCTTTGGCCTGCATCACCTGTACCAACAAGCACGATAGATCTCTCTCCATTTATAACATTTCGTTCTCTTTGTGTCTAGTCACTTTATTTGTCTTAGGACGATAGCTGGTCGCCCCCAGATGTTCGGTTCCGTCTGCGGGTCGTGATGGCCGGTAGACTAATTAAGACCACGGAAGACAAAGCAAAAACGGGATCTTGTTCCTGGTAGCAGTAGATCGATACGGACTTAAGTCGCTGGAAGATTGGAAGTGACCCCCCCCCCCTTTATTACTCCGATCGCCAATACCCATCGCAGCGAAAGCTTGCTCTAGAGCGATCTTATTCTATTGCCTAAAAGGCTGTAGGATATTCCTACATCTTACTACCAGTCCGTTGCCTGTGTCCTTTCTTCCAAGATAGCACCGTTCGAGGTGCATTAAAGTTCGAGACGTATTTTTTCTCAAGCTTTTTACATGAACTACTAATGAAATAACTAATTAAGAGAGGCTAAAAAAAGGCTTTGATATCGATAGCACGAAGGGGCAACTATTTTTTAGATACAAGAACCCAAACAAAGCTGGCCACATAGCCTCCTACCATAGCGATGCTTCCAGAGCTGCTGTTGTTCGCTAAAGGGGGCAGGGGGGGGGGGGGGCAGCTCTTTTTTTGTGGATGGCGAACGTAACGGAACAGATAGCACAACCAGCAGTCAAATGGTGAATGACTCAGCCGCACATCCTACAACCAAGAAGTCTTATAATTATAAGGATATTTTACCAAAAACAAATAGAAATTTTCTTTCTTTTCTCTATAACCTGTTTTCTGCATTATGAAATGGATTATTGTTGAGATGGATTCGAATCCGAAGAGCACGCCTTTTTCTGTTGGAAGGGGTCAGCAGTTTGAAGGGCCCTTGACCAAAGCAGCATCGGATGTACAACGCGAAACATTTATTTTTTGATAATAAAAAAATATTATAGTATTGTGTGTGCTACTTCCAAACACTTGTTTTATGCCGTCTTCTGATACACGTACATACTTTTAATATTTAGTATAGTATTTAATAAAGCGCATAAGAATTAGCGGCCGTACAACATATTTCGTGCTATATAATTAGAAAATTACAAGGTGACATATAATTTGAATTTTACGGATTTGCTGAATTCTATTACACGAATTTTGATGACCATAGTCACTATAAATGTAGTGGCTAACTAGAACCGTAAAATGAAGACATACCACAATAGATAAATGCCCCATTTCAATGTCTGACTTTCATGTTTCATAAGAGAGTCCATATATATCAGGTTAGCACTTCATGAAACTATAAACAGCATATACTCTAGTAATGCATCTTATGTAGACACTCATGAGCTATAAATTGATTAATATTGCAGGCGATGGACTTCGGGTGGTAGATGACGATACGAAAGATCTCATTCTCGACCAAACGATCGAAAAGGTTTCCTTTTGCGCCCCCGATAGAAACCACGAAAAAGGATTTTCATATATTTGCCGAGACGGTGAGTAACTGGAATTATAGCGTGAATGAATCATAGTTTATATGGCCAAATTTCAAATCGCTTCGAATTTTATTAACAACATTAAAACTACACAATCCGGAGTAGTTTAGTTATTACTCCGTTAAAAGTATCGTTTTTGTTATTTATTATACTTTCGACCAGCTATTCCAATCAGTTCAAATGCAGCGCAACGTTTCTTTAGTGTTCATGTATTTACCTAACGCCACCCTTTTTAGGGTCAGTCTTCTGCGACAATCATCCAGGCAGCCCTCAGGGTCTATTTCCGTGTTGACCGTGCTTCCGCTTCCCACTTCATTGTTGATTCGATTCCTCCTTTCTTCACGATCTCAACCTCACCCCTTCACCCCCCTTCCTTTTAATTCCGTCATTATTTCTATCACTACCACGATCAGCATCCTTATTAGCTTGGACCAACAATGAAAATTAGCTTGGGTTTAGCGAAACAAACAACAAAGATTTTTCAGATCGATGCTTAATACAAACGAGCTTGAGTTTATACTCTCGCGCTCCACACCAGGCGTTCACTCTCCTTCTACAAGTATTGAAGTTTCTCGATTACATTTATTTCCTGTCTTTTTTTTGTTCGCACGCGACTGTATGCGCTGCAGAAGGTCTTCGTTCGCTGCGTCTTTCCCAAAGAAAATGGGGCAATATGTCTGTATTTTAAATAAGACTCTTCGAGGATCAATAGAAACGGTACAGGGGTCTATTGTATGATCAGATGAAATAATCTGCGGCGAAGAGAAAACAGAACGTAAACTCTGTAATTGATTGAGCTTCGTTACGGGTTCATTTTAAACATTCATTAAACGCATGGCCAAAAGAACGTCAACCGAGATTAATGGCTGTATCAGGCAAATTCAACAAATCATTAAAGTTTCAATTATTCGCTTGAGGGTCGTTGGTACACGAGAAACACAGTTGTCCTAAGGTTTTCGTTCTAATAAATTTGTTTCTGTATTTTTTTTTATAGTTGGTTATGTTGTATTTTGGTGGTATTACATTCGTCATGCTTGTATATTGATATACAAATGCATGTAAATCATTCAAAACAAAACATAAATATGACAAGTATATGCGTGTTCCCCCATTTTCGATGTATTTTACGAAAAAATATTTATGATTACGTCAGAGGCATAATTCAGAAGCAATGCACAACTATGGATCGTCCGTTCAAATAAGACCACCAGAGTGAATTAAGTGTCATCGTTCTGAATCATTTCTTGCGATTTGGTGATCAGCGCCGAAAAATCCAAATCGCAGTTTTATAATTATGAGCTAGTGTACGAAACCGAAAAATCGCGGAACAATTTGATCCTTTCTGCACCGTAACATCTCTATTCACTCCATCGTTGATACCTATTAAACTATATCACAGAGCGATCTCTGAGAAGATAGCGGAAGATTCCTCGGTCCGTTTTTGCGCCTGTCCACTATAGCGAAAATATTAATAGCGAAATTCAGTTTGGCGGAGACCTATTTAGGAGGTTTGCGCCGTATAGCTTGTCACTATATATGCGTTTAGTAACACCTCATGAAGTAGATACTTCTTTGTGAATGGATTTTAGAAACACTTTAGTGTTCAGTATTGAACAAACACCTTCGACTTAAACTAGCAGTTCGGTCTTTGAAAATGATTTTAAACTTTCAAAGATTTTAAGAAGCTGTTTTCGAATTTATCGTTACTGTTATATATGTATACAACATAATGTATGCAAATAGGCTTCCACGATATTTAAATCAAAGAAGAAAGCTCTTGCTGCGCGTCCACTCCGGCATGGTCACGGGTATGGGATAAACATTTATTACATCTGTGCTGTACAAATGTTGTTAGCGAACTATACGTACACTTGCCCGTCTATCTCGTTTTATCATTTACGAATATTATTCGCTGATAAAATCGAGTCGATCGGCGCGTTTCATCAAATAAACCTTCGAAGGTTTCTTACTTGTTTTTCTAACAATTTCTGTTGCAGAGGCTAACTTTTCTGGCTAAGTGAAATTAAACGTCAGTCTAGTCTAACTGCGTTATCATCGCTCTGTTTGTCAGCTGTAAAGACGGAAACGCCGGATGCCTGCGAATTAACCCTGAACGAGCGAGCCCCGATATGCGCCTATATTAGGTTTTTCTGTTAGCCTTAAAGCAATAAAAACGGCTCATTTGCGAGATGCATTTTTGCCTGAAAGGGCAAAACATTAAAAAAAGCGGTAACGTTATGGCCGATTCTGCTTAGGGTCTCCGCTTAGGAACAGGGCCTTATGAATGTACAGCTATGGTCTAACTACCCATGAATGGTTAGGTAAAATCCAGCATAAAACGCCAACCTGTTTCGGGATTTTCTCGGCTAGAACCACTTTGTTGCACACCCGTGTTGTAACGTCGTGTAGACAACTCGTTTACATACATATAACTCGTATGTATATACAATGAAGGCAATAAACGCAAACTAACCCCCTGATTACAATTTAAGCAATATAGTTTGTGAGTGAAGTTGAAGACAAGAAAAGGCAGTTTACTTCTGCACAGATCCAAACCTTGAATAGAATAAACCGTAGGATAATGAATCTAATTTAGAACGAATCAAAGTAAAAGTCTCGGAGTAATACCATTTGGCATTTAATTGTCGCATCCAAACTATTAGTTCACTTGAACAATAGTTTACACTATCTCCCAAGCTTCTGCCCTGTCTAATTAGTGTGCATTTTAATCTAGATAAAGAACGACTTTGTTGTCAAGCTTTCGCCCTTTGAGTATTGATTGTCTATCAGGAGCAAATGCTAATTATAGATTAATATCGACGTCGTTTCGATTTTGCTGTATTGTGTGATCCGATTGTTATTATCTCCATTTTTTCGTTTCGTAGGCACAACCCGACGCTGGATGTGCCATGGATTCCAGGCGTCTCGTGACTCTGGTGAGCGACTCTCACACGCTGTCGGATGCGCGTTTGCCGTCTGTCTCGAGCGGAAGCAGCAACGCGACAAAGAATCAAAAGATGCCGCTTTACAAGTGGTCTCCCTTCAGCAGGGTCACCAGGGCCAGCCAGGCTATCCACAAACCAAAATTTCCCACGGTAGCAATCAAGCCCATACGAGCAACAGTAGCAGCCACAATACGACAACGAGGGAAAATAACAACTTTAGAAGGGCGGCTTCGATGCGATGCCCCTCTTCAGCCGTTAAAGCCCCCCTCGACCCACAGGTAAGCATAGATCAAGTTGGATATGTACATATAGAATTTTCATCTATAACATTCACAATTAATATTTTAGTCTGCTCTTTATTTACTACTCTTTATTTGTCTCATGACCCGCTGCTGTTTGGCTGTCCCTAGAAGCGCAGAAAGTCTTAGACGTATGATAAATGAGATGCTTATGCCCGTATTTTTATGGCTGTGACTTTGGAAAGCGTAACCAATTCTTTCTCTAACTAACAAATTCCATTTACTTTGTTCTGCTTGGCCCTTGCCACTCAATCGACTCGCTATACGCGGTGGCGTCACGCAGGGGTGCAAACCTTCACAAGTGCCACCGATTAAGGCCATTCACAATCCATACGCCATCGAACGACCGCACGCGACTGCGTCGATGCTCGAGCGACAGAACTCGTTCCGTGGCCTTGCCACGATAGGCGCCCAGTCACCGTTCAAACGCCAACTGTCGCTCAGGATCAACGACCTGCCGTCGAACCGGCAAAGACAGCGCTCAATGAGCCTGGATACCGAGGCCACCCAAGGGCTGGTGAGGGAAGCAGGTCAAGGCCTCGGCAGCCAGGCCATTCCCGAAGGTTCGCCCCTGGGCAGCCAGCAGGTGTTGAGCGACGCACAGGGTGTGCCTGCAGCTAGCAACTCGTCCGCGTTGCAGGGGATTAATAACCCCTTATCCGTGCTGTCCACATCTCTTCCTCAGGGTAGCGGCGGGCCCTTGTCGCTGGGATCGACAGGCGGAGTAGCTGAGTCTAGCTTCGATATCAATATTATGTGTCAGCAGTTCTCTCAGGGGTTGGACCTGCTCACAGCCGACAGCGGCAAAAGCAACCCCTCTAGTTCGTTCATCAATTCATTGTCAGATCCCTTTGACACGACAACCATTTCCAACGGATGCATAGGTGAGGAATCGTGCTTTTGCGCAGATCTAACATGGCAGACACGTTGATCTTTAGTGCAGGTCGCAGCGTAGGACGTAGAGCGTTTATATAAAACAGTAAAGCTGTCCGATCAGCATTTGCTTTGCTATTTTCCATCTAAATTAATGAATAGGATTTTTTTTTCTTGCATCTCCCGTCCCAATTTTGTCGATTGTATTTGCGCATACCTCTACCTACCCGTTTCGGTATCTAATCCCATGCAATTTCGTCATTTGTTGTTTCTGCTACATTTTAATACATGTTCCAGGTGGCATGAACTCACTGTCAGGACCTGTTGCTTTGACAGACAGTGATCGCTTGTCCTCGTCTCCGGCACCCCTAGTCCCTTCAACAAATCCTTGGGCGCAGGGCGTCCAAGACATAACCACGACCAGCTCGTCGTTGACGTCAGCCGTCGTCACAACTTCGAGTTCGAGTCCGACTCCTGTTGGGATCTTAGGTCCCGCCAGTTTGTTGCTATCCCCGCCAGGTGACGCCAACCCGCCGCGTCTTGCTCATCAGCGAGCAGGGCAGCTCGGTCAATTGCGCAGTCAAAGTCTCAGCGACACCGGCCGAGCTCAGGGCGACTCCTTGCTGCACAACCCCATCGCGTCCCGTTATTCATCAACGAACCCTTTCGTAACTGACCTGATTCAGAATAGTCACACAGGAATTGAGAGTAGCCATTGCTTGACATCACAACGGAATCGACCCAGCAACAGTAATCACAACGGGAATCACAGTGTCCTTGCAACTAGCACTGGATCAGGGCACGGGTCACAGGTTCGTGCCACACCCGCCAATGCGCCCGTCTTTGAAGTGAGATTGTAGATTAGCTGTCGTCGATAAGAATCGACATGGTGAAGGTGACGCTGCTGATGGCACTGATGAAATTACAATAACAGAAAATGCACTCATAAAAATAAAATTGCGATATACGGCGAAGATGAAAAACATCCGTGAAAGTTGTTGATGACGAGGGATAGCTCGAGGAAACTATATATATAT